CTGTTACTAGTAGAATAAAGTCAAGTAATAATATTTTCACCGATCCAAATATACAATCGTGTGGTGTCGTAATGTATATTTCGATAGTGAAGATGATACATAAAGTTTTGCTTTAATTTTGGTCCAATTTTTTCTTCGAAAAAGTCTATATTATCGATATCTCCTTCTACAATTGAACTAACTTGAATACTTGACAATTTTGATAATTGACATAATATGTAAAACAATTCATTCAAACTTGTGATTACACATTCAAGGTGTTCCAAATTTGAAAATATGTTACAAAAGTGTTCTAGTTCATATGAAGTAAAAAGTGAATCAGTACCATTGACAACTAATTTTTTAATCATTCTATTTAAATATTTGCGTGCTTCATAATTACTGAACAATGGTACTAGACTTGATTTTGGTACGGTTATCGATGATACATTTGGTGTCTCTTTTAATATTTCTAATAATAATAATGATTTCATTGTATAATTCCATGGAAATTCTAAATATTTTACATTAGATAAATTAACATTCAACTTAAGTACTTGTATATATTGATAGTTTAATTCGATATTATTATAGCCGAGCCTTTCAGGATTGAAAATTAATGATTTGACATTTGAAAAATAATGATGCAATATTTCTGTTCTTGGAAAGTATGTTAATTGTGTAACATTGCTAAATAACTTTGATTTATTGATCGTCATCTCACAATTAGTATTTGTATCCAAGGTTAATGTATAATTATTTGAACTGTACGGTATCGTATAAATGGTCGCAAATTTTTGCGTTAATTCATATGCGGTATGCCATTGATGTTCTTTATGCCAAAAATCAGTTTGAAATTGTTGAAATTGATTCAATATCAAATCCTTATACAAAACGATTACGCCTCGATAATCACAGCGGTCGATATGAAAATGAAATTGAAAAATGTTTAAGTTAGACAATTATGATGAAATAATACGTTCCCAACGATAAGCATCACATATTTCTTTACTGTAAGGACTAAATAGATTCAAGTTTTTTAAATTTGGCATTTGTTTGAACAGGAATTCAAGAGAATCAAATTGAATCAAACGTATTCCTGCAATGAATTGTGTTAAATGAACAGCTTTGGAACTAACAAGACTTAAGTCTAGGTTACTCGAAAAACATAAATTTTCGACTTTTAAATATTTTAACATCGGTAAACATTTGAAAATTTGATATAACTGGATTGGATAAACAGAACCAGACAGTATTAAATGTGTCACTGATAGAATTTTATCAATTGGTATAAAATCAAGAAATGATTCTGACACCGATAATACTCTCAATGTCGACGGAACTGACGCTAGTAATTGATGACGATGATTATACTTTGTAATGAAATAAAACTCTCGTAGATTAGATAACAATGATAATATATCTTCTAATGAAATATTTCTTTCGATATCAATTAGGGTTAATGATCGTAGATTAGGAAATTCATTCAGGTGAAAAAAATGTAGAAATACTTGGATTTGATTACATGTATCCATTGCATCTGATAATCTTAATGAGTATATAGCACTTTTCATCACAGGATTCAATAAAATTCTTGTACAAAATTGATCAAAAATAGATTTTCTGATATGTTCAAAATTAACATACAACGGAACATTTTGAATTAATATATTAAAACGACAATTTAATCCACCAAATCCATGAAATATATCTGGACCATTTAAATATTCAAAACAGCTCAATAATATCTCATTTGGTAATGATTCAAAATCCATCATGGTGATCACAATTTTATTAATGATGGAAACAATTGAAACACTCTATATATACTTGAAAACGCGTGTGTGTGTGATATTTTCTTTTTCTAATGACACATATTGTCAATAATGATATTCAATATGAAAAAAGCTTTTTGTTTTCAAGATAAGAATATATCATTCTTGTCTCTACGAAATATAATGTTTGTTCTCAAAAAATCTTATGCGTCAATGTTATTTTTCTAGTGTTTATTACTATTGCACTATTATTTCAAAAGAACTAACTCGTAATGTGACTCCTTCACATGAATCGACAACGATACGTACTGTGCAACATATAATGATTAGATGAGTTCGAACTAGAAATGTCCGAGACTAGCTTTGGTCCGGGTTTCATGAGAACAAGAAGTTGCTGACATCGGAACTAAAGATTTTAGGTATATGTTATATGGTGCTAGGCGAATTATCTTTTAAATCACAGCAATAAAAGCAAAATTCAGGAGAGATAACCAAAAACAGTAACAATCAATACAAAAAAGATCAAATCATGGAAAAAATATAATTTTTTTCATCATTGTATACAGAGATTTTCTCTAACAAACTAATTCGAATTCTTCAATGATGAAAAGATCTAGTACCAAGTAAATATTAATTTAAATTTATAATAAAAACAAGACAAATTTAATGTACTTTTTTCCTTCAACTGTTCTTTCTTTCGAAGCTATTCAGACGATCATGAATGAATAGAAATATCTGAATAGTTCTCCTTTACCGAGATATATTCTCGATCTGTGCCTTTTTCTAAGCTAAAGACAAATAATAATACAAAGCTTTTACAAAGCAAAATTTTAGAAAACAAACCGAGCATTCTTATAAACTTTGAAAAGAAACGAACAGTTGTTGTCTGTTCATTGAAGGACTATTATTAATTGAACATGATTTGTACATTTTTATTACATAAATCGAAAAAAACAGCCATTAAGATTGCACAATTTAAGAATAGTACTTGTTTATTTTCTTTATGAAAATGTATGAAATCAATCTATAGTCATTATTTGTCTAAAACTATCTTTATCTCAACGACAATTGCTTCTGAAAGACATATTATCTCCATAAAGTTAATGTAACGCATTTAGGATAATGAATATTTTACGTATTGCGTTTGAAGGATTACATAACTTTCTTCAATCTACGAAGGTTGAGCAAAGCTAAATTAAAAACGATAAGATTAGCGTACTTTCTCATAATTCTTCCTTTACATGGAAAATAGAACTATCGTTTATCGAATATAGAGTTTGAGAGATAGCATTATTGATTATTTTCTTTATATACAAATAGCTTTATCTGACATTAATTATGTTGATTCTTGTTTATCTGTACCTTTTTATATATTGGACAATTTCGGAAATTTATTCAATGCAGCAGTATTTTTGCATTAATCTTAGAGAAAAAAATGTTTGTGTATTTTATTTTCTCATTTGACTTTTCGTTGATTCGATAAATATGAATTGCTCTGTTCTTGAATCACTTTCCTCAATTCTTTTAACATCATATAGTAAATTCGATGTTCTATCTGGCACAATAAAAATATTTTTTGGCACAAGTCTATGAGCGCATATTTTCCCAAAAAACTCGAATCTGCTGCTAACTTTACTTGCGTAGACTGATATGCTAAATATAAAGATTTTTCTTGCAATTTGTTTAAATTTTTGCTTACCATAAATAATTGTTGACATTTGTAATCGATACTGCACTTAAATCTTCTTGAACAATAAGTCGATCTTTACAACGACTACTGATTCCATGTTTTGAACTAGAATGACAGCATAATGGAAAATGTAGGAGAGTATTTGTTTCTAAATTTGGCGGAAAAGAGAGATCTGAAATGGATATGTATCATATTATCAGCAATATTGATCAAATCAAAAAATTTTATTAGTTAGCTCTCAATGATCAGTAAATAGTCGGTTTTTTTTTCTATATGGAGTGCATATTCTAGTGTATTTCTTTGTTGATGATAGGGATATATAGATATTGAATGAGTGGATAAGGATGATTAAAGAAAAATAATAAAATTCTGTGAATTATTTAACTTGTTTTAGTTTTATCATATATATTTGAAGTATACGAAGAATTTTTTGAAGCTGATAATATAAGTAAGAACAATTAAACAGTAACACTAAATAAGGTTTTTAAAAAAATAATTTCGGATAATCTAGATGACAGAGAGGTGTATTGTTTTAGTAAAATGAATTTCTATATGATTTCATTGAAATATATGCACTTCGTTCGTTGTTTATTATTCTCAGTAGTGGAAATAGTTTATCCTACCCGACGATCATTCATTGTTAAATGTTTGGAATACGAATGAGAAAATAATAAAATATTTTACAATATTTTTAGACAGGACAATGCAAATTGCAAAAATATTCTTTACGAAAAAGATTGACGAGTGCATATTTGGTATTTGGATCAAGAATAGTTCGAAGAACTTGATGCAAATTTCAATAGTCTTATTATTAATGATTTTAGCAAGAATAAATGGTCTTCTATGATAAAAATAAAATATTTCATGGTGAAATTTATCTGAAAATATCGTGTGATGTGTTCTCTTTTACAGAATTTAGTTTTTGAATACAGATGAGCTCTGTTTGTGGTCATTCGTGATATGTCCAGATTTTCTTAAGTGTTGAGTATTTTTCAGCTGATTTATTTTGGAGAGTGACAATTCCATAATGTGTTGAGGTGTATTTTCCTGACTTTTTCGTCAACCATGTATTATAATAAGACACGTTCTTATTATTATCTTTTCAATGTCATTAACGATACATACAGTGCAAAGAAGTCGTTTGATAAAGGTGGTCTTATACTGATAACACAAAGAGATTTCTGTTTTTGCAGCAGAATTCTCTGTTATTTTGTGAATTTTAGATTAAAACAAACAATGATACTGCGATTTCTCTTTCAAGAATTGAATATGCAGTCAAACATGTTTTGCAAGATAATTTTTTGTTTAGCTGAAAGCGTCTATTTAAAGCATTAAAAGTGAAGTTCGTGAAATGACTTTATGAGAGAAATTCATTTGTTGATAGAGACTCTGTCGAGGAAGGAAAAATTGATTGCAATCAAAGCAATCACCGGCAATCTTGGCTAGCAGAATATCAGATTTTCCTCCTGGACATTATAGGTTATCAAAAACATGATTGTCATCCTCTTTACTGATGACAATAACAAATGTATTCAGAAACAACCTGAATTCTTTATCTGATGATAAAAGCACCAAGAACAATTAATAGCAATCATTGACAATCAGATAATCAGCATTTCTCCCCTTGTGTTCTGTACAAACAAAGTCGAAAGTGCAGCTAAAGAGTAAGGGTTTGGATGTGAGTGTGAGTTATTCTCCTTTAATCACCCACGCCTTGTCGGTGGTGACTGTTCAGTCCACCAGTTTACACTAATAATTATAAGCATAATACATGTTGATCATGAAGTGTTGGCATGGATGTGGATATTCTCTATAATCACAAGCACAGTCCATATTCTTGTGCACACTCTATTTGAAATGAATTTCCTTGTATGAGAATATTTTTTTCATTGTTCTGTTATCTTGAATGTTTTAATTTTGATAAGTGTAATTTCTCTTCACAAAGCCCATAGTTGAAAGATATTAAAATAAAACAAACGGCAGAAAAAGAAGATAGATAAAAAAAGTTAAAAGATTGCTTTCTGCCAAAAATAATAAACGAATCATTCAACTCACTCTCAATTAACATCCACACGCATACCTTTCAACAGTATTTATCATTTCGGATTTATACAGACTTATTAGAAAAATCCTTTCAGTAACTAAAAATTTGAACTTAGCTCTAGACTATTAGAGAGCCTAAAGAGAGATCTCTGATCAAAATGCACTTTTTCCTGGAAACGAACTTTCTCAATTGTTTTACATGACCGTGAAAAGGTCAAACATTGTTTCTATTTCAAAATAAAAGGCAAAGCAACTAGAAAAATAAATAACAGACACAACAGATATACAAAGAGGTTAATATAAAACAATCATATTGGATTTCTTCATATGAAAATACTGGCAAAGAGTTCGTCTGTCTCGATATAAAAATTCAAAAACTATTTTCCTCTTATGCAACCATGATCATATGATGCCTGATCTGTTGTACTTAATCATACTAATTGAATATTGCTTGATGCGAATCTTGCGATCAGCAGTCCATATGAGTAAGAGTTCTGGACTAATGACTATTTGAATTGAACTGAGATCATTGGAAAAAAGAAACATAAATTAAATTTGAATAAATATTAGAACATAAAGAAAATTGTTTATGAATCTTATCAAAAGACTCATTGTTTAAAACGTTACGATCGGGAGAAGTTATTTGATATTTTAAACAAAAAACTTTACACAAATATTCTATAAGCATCAACATCAATCTGAATTCTATCATATATATCCAATATAAGTATGTCAATAAGTCTTTTATTATAAGCCTCTTTATTGATAGAAACTTCTCATAAAAGTGACGAGGAGGATATCATTTCATAGGGAAACGTTTGCAATTTTCTTTAAATATCATTTAGATCAAATTTTTCTTCTACTTTTCAAAGATTCACTTATACTTCCTAACATATGGTTCTTACGAAAATTCTTTTACACGCATAGAATATTAACACAGGTTTATCAAAATTTTTTTATTGAAAGTCTAATGAGAAAAGAAATATATGGTTCATTAATTTATTTATTTATATTATTGAGATTTCTTTTACAAAATCAAATATTTAATCTATACATAATTTGTTTTCTAAAAAGGCAGAGACACTTTTTAGTCAATGAAATTAACATACTTCGAGTATAACAAAATTTTTTCTTATTATTATCAACAGATAACAAACTAATTGAAATCATAAGATTTAAATAAATAAATATAAAGCATAGATAAAGATACTTCATATTCAGATCAATTTTATTAACTAATAATATTAGTAATTTCCTTTTATACATTATT